AAAAAAAAAAAAAAAAAAAAAAAAGGAAAAACCCTACACCGCTTTGCAACGCTTTGCTAGCTCTTTTTCACCCCCCGGCAGGCAGAAGTTTCCAAAGAGACTACGGGCTCGGGTGGAACAGGCGCTTTTAAATAGACGGCCCCTGGCTGCCAGCCAGTTTGTAGCTGCAATTTGAGCTCCCCAACACCCAACCCAGGCAAGGATGCCAAAGAGCTTTGCAGCACAAACTCACTTGAGGTGGGGGTGGGGAGAGGCCTTCTAGACACACGGGGGCTCCCCTTCGCTCCCAAACAGCGCTCTCCTCCTCCCGGAATGTCAGGAAGGGGCACCGGGATTGGGCTCAGAATGCTGGGGATGGGGGTGGGGGGAAGACAAGTGGAAGAGAGAGTTCTCCAGAGCTGGGTGTATACAATGAGAGTAACTCGCCTCCCCCTCCCTCCTACCCCTTCTCTAGCCAAGGCATAGGCTGGAGGGAGAATTTTCTTGTTAGCTAACTGGATGTATACAGCTTCCCAGAAGTTGTTCATAAGCTTTGTTGAACGGCAGTTTGCTAGTTACCAAGTAAGGTTTGTGTATTTGTGGCGTTGGGGGGTGGGGTGCAGGCTGACCAGTGATGGATGATTAGCTTAATTAAAAAAAAAAACAAACGATTTTCCATGCTCAAAGTCTGAGGAAGGAGTTTTATTCAAAGCTGTGTCTATTGCTGGTAAAATGAATGTCTTGGATCATTTGGTCTTCAGCTACATTGTGGGCCCAGGGAACCTGTGTGTGCCTGTATTATGTGTACTTGCAGGAACAGACACTCATACAACTCAGCATTGTTGGGAGTAGAGAGTTACAGAGACAACAACGAATTGAAAGAAAAGCTGTTAAGTCTGAAAACATTGGTGTGGATTTTAGATGAAAGGAAGGCAGATTGGAGTGTTACTTTCTCTTCATTTGATTTTCAGGAATATTTCTAATGGGCAGAGCCACACCCCTTGAAGGGAATGGGTGACAGATAAGAGGGCGCTCTTATCATAAAGTTAATTGGTACACACAGCATTACCCCAGGAATATGAGCTGAGAAGGCCACAGTACTTGCTCCAATGAGATCCTGCTGGAAACCTCAGGCAATCGAATCACACACCATGAACCCCTTTCTTTTCTTAATCAAATGATAGAAAACCAAGAGCTTAAAAGACGAAAGGTGATGATTTCAGTTTTTTTAAAATTATTATTTGAAATTTACATGGTCAAGCTGTGAATTCACTGTCAGTCCAAGAAAATGACCAATCTCACCTGCCCTGTCTGGGTGTCCTTGGAACGGAGCTGTTACCTTCTTTCTGTCTTCTCTTTAGAAATATGCTAACTTTTCTTTGGCCAAGGGGCTGCATTTCATGAAGTTTGCCACTAGACTGCACCCTTATCTATGATAAGAATTCTTTCTGGAGAACTGCTTTTTCTTTTTTAAAAAAACATTCCTCTTGCTCTTTATGTTTAGGAACATCTCTATACTTTAAACACCTCCAAGATCCCGATCTTGCCTCTCACTTACCTATTTGCCGAAAGGCATATCTTAAAACAAGGCTCAAATTTAAGGTTGTGCTTTTGCTTGTATTGCCAAAGGGATTTTAGGTGTTTGCTGGGAGGGAGAAGAGGAACTGTGTGAAATTATTTAAAGAGAAAAGAAAAGAAATTGGAGCAAGATCCATTCTCATTGCATTTCCTTTCTAACTGGGGCTTGTTAAGCTAGGGGACAGACACATCCACCTTAAAAAAGTTGGTTGAAATATTTTAGGAATAAGGGAGATGATGTGCTACTTTGTCAGTTGTGTCAAGTTCAGACTAGAAGGGTCGCAGAACAGTGTGTGGTGTCTGTGTTTTGATTTCTGCTCCTATTTCAGTACCACCTTAGCCACTTCAGTCACACTGGTAGACTTGAAGATGAATGGGGAAATTGTGGTCCTGCTTCCAAAGAAACATGAGTTGTCTAGTTCCAGTCACCCTGGATTCCAAGAGAGACGGCCACCAGGGATTGGGCTTTTTGTCTAGCCGACTTCCATTGACTGGAAATAAAATGTCTGAGGACAGGTACATGGATGAGGGGATGATTCATGGAGAAAATGAAAAGAGTAGAGAAGAAAGGAGGAGATTGTAGTGGGAGCTGATCCTTGGGGTAAGGCAGTCGAGGGGGCCAAGGAGACAGGATATTCTGCAAACCTGTGTATGTTAAGCAACCATTCTTTATTTCTACTCAGAAATGGGCTTATGTCATGAGGGATTTAGGTTTGACTGATAGGACTAGAGCTTAGTTTCCTGGGAAGGCACACAGAGTAGTTTGTGTAGTTTGGGTTTGCTTAGGGGAAGGGGGTACTCTGACTAGCGGGGTTTTGCTTCTAAGGCTCCATAATTAATGTAGGCCAGTGGAGTAGGAAGGTGTTGGTTTTGTTATTATAAGATGTGGAATTTAGGGGGATGCCTAGGAGGCTTTCTTAATTTCTTTTCTCCCTCTCCATCCATACTGACGGCCTCAATCTATTCACAATCATCGTTAGAAGATTGTTTCTGGAAAAATTAGTTGGGTAGGGCTCATTTATTCCTGCCAGATGCAAATGTTGGAGGCCAGGTTCCCTTCCCAACGGCCTCCTTCACTGTTGACTTGCTTTTACTGCCATGGGCTTCCCAACTCATAACCACGTCTTTCTTGGAGAAGTAGGAAGTTAAATATCATCCACTGTGTCATGTTTCCCCAGAGAATATCCCTCCCCATTCCTTAAAAAGATTAACTGCATATCAAAACCATGCTCTAAGATGTGCAACTGAGTATAACGTTTGTGCATTCTATCTGGATCACTTTTCCAAGGGTGGACAGAATTTTGTTTTATAAATCTTCAGAGTCCTTGCCTATGATCATTTTCCATGTGAGTTTCTATGTGAAAGTTCCAAGGAAAGGATAAGGCCTGCTGAAATGGTTGGGGAAAGTTAGATGTTTAGGAGAGCATAAAATATCATGGACTCTTTCTTCTGTTTGGAAAAGGAAAAACAAAACAAAACGGAAACACACACACACACACACACACACAAACAACTGGAGAGGTCTTGCTTGTATTCCCTTCTATGCATTATTATTCTCATCACTGTGAAAGACAAACTTGCTCAACCCGTAGTCTACAGTGAGTACTTATTCTGTTTTAAGGATCTCACAAGGTTGAGATCAGTCTTTTTCCTAGATGCCAGTTCATAGTCTGCATCTAATGCTGATGCCTCATGCTGGTCCAAAACTCAGGTATGTGATCTTCAAAGAATGAAATGCCCAGTGGTTCAGGTCCCTCGCCAGGTAAGCAAGGAAGTCTGTGCATCAGAGCGTCTAAAGGCAGCTTTGTTGTAGTGACGCTGGTGAAGGCTAGGTGGCAGAATAGATACACCAGTAAAAACACGCCTGCCTTAAGGAATGCAAAAAGAACCAGACAGCCTTAGAAATCTTAACAAAGGAGATGAGAGGTGGGGGGAGCAAAAGCGTGTATAAAGGAAGATACGTCAACACCCTGTGGTCATTTGTCATGCCATTCCAGCCTTAGCATACCATTTTTGCCAAAACAGCACCAATCTAGCCTTAGGTTCAAAATCCTCTGAGTTTCCTTGGGAGTCCCATTCATGGTTACTTTACCTGGGAGATAAGGTGGGGCCAGGTCAGAACTTGATTATTTTGGGTTCATCAAAGAATATGTGTATGCTTCTCTGGTGACTAATTAGAACGTTTTCTTCAGCCAAAGTGCCTGTAAAATGTACTTTATTATTTTAAAATGTTAATTATGGCATATTTCAAACATACAAAGAACAGAAGATAATATAGCAGCTATCCTATGCCTGCTATACACACTCAGCAAATGTTAACATTTTGTCACTGCTGTTTGAGAGTTCTGTTTTTAGAGACAGAAATACAATGATATCAATATTGGTTAACTTTCTGCTCTCCCCAATGCCTGTCTTCTCTCCTGAAGGTGCCACTATTCCAGAATAGCTCTGTAGCCTTTCTGCACAGATTTTCTATGAAGTTTTTTATGAACACTTTTTATATTTTATATGAAGTTTCCTTTAGAAGAGAGGTAGAATGATTTTGAGGACTTTAGGATAAATGTTGTAACTCCCTAAGGTGGCAGATTAAGTAGAGTTCTGATGTATCACTACAGGATAATACACTGGACC